CTCCCCCCCCCCCCACCCAAGAAAACCAGGAAGACGCGGGCGGCGGACCGAGACGCACCGCGGTCCTGCCACCTGGGTCCTCCACAGCTTTGCTCCCAGTCTCCCTGGTCTGCCAGGGAGATGGGGAGCAAAGCCTCTGAGGACGCCAGCAGTGGGACAGCCGCGGGGCGTCTGGGCTGTCCCGCTGCCGGCTTTCCCCGTGGCTTTTGCAAAGCTATTGAGGATAGCCAGGATTTCAAATACAGCTGCTCTCTAACTCCAACAGCTTCCAAATGCTATGCCTTCAGCTGAAGCATGACTGGGTTGAGATGGCAAGTGCATCTATTGTCCTGGGTTATTAGTTTATGTATCAAGGAAGGTAGAGAGGTTAGACTGATAGTTGCAGAAGCATCAGATACCAGACTTGTCAAAAAGCTATTGAGGATAGCCAGGATTTCAAATACAGCTGCTCTCTAACTCCAACAGCTTCCAAATGCTATGCCTTCAGCTGAAGCATGACTGGGTTGAGATGGCAAGTGCATCTATTGTCCTGGGTTATTAGTTTATGTATCAAGGAAGGTAGAGAGGTTAGACTGATAGTTGCAGAAGCATCAGATACCAGACTTGTCAAACTCAAGCTTGCACTTGTGTTTTGTCTGGTCTGGTCAACACTCCAGGTAAGAGGGGAATCAGGGGAATGTGTGCTATACGACTCCCAACCTTGTATAAAATGTCACCCATAGACTCCAGGCTACAACATCCCTAGAACAACTCTTTGTACTTGTGGTTCAGATGGGAGACAAACAGGTCTATGGATGGAGGAGCCACACCTGGAACACCAACCACAGAGTGATGTCATGCAGCTCCCACTTATGTACAGCAGAGAAATCTCTTCTCAGAGAATTTGCCAGGTGTTATGGATTGCTAGGAGGTAGACAGCAATTAGAGTAATCTGCAAGAGAATTCACCAGTCCCAAAGGTGAACGACCTCTGTGCAGTGCACAGCTGTGAAGAGTGTGCTTGTTGATAGAATAGCCTGCTGTCATGTTATCCAACAGTATTTGGATTGACTACCTGCAGATACAAAAAAGGTAGTCAATACACTGAAGTGATGCAAAGACCTCTAAGGGGATCAGGTTCTTCAGGCAACCTCACTCTCCAGAGGTGCACCTCCAAATGAAGTGGGATGCAGCGATGGTGACAGGCCTTACTGGAAGCAGTAGGTTCCATTATGTATATCTTTGTTCTGTCCTTCCAGAAAATAAGGAAGGCTAAGGCCCTTTGGAATGGGGCCCTTCATCCTCTCTCTTCTTATATATAAGATAGTACTTTAAGTAGAATCCCTTACCCCATTTTCATGGAGGTACTAGTTCAAAGAGCCATTTTCCCTCATGCAGAAGAATCATCTTGTGAGAGGGGTCCCTGAACGAGGATGGGGGAATAGGATGAGGTTGGGAAGGGAAGAGATCTGGAGGTGGGGAAGCAGAAATCTTTCAACCACCTAGAACTATAGAAGAAGAGTCACATCTACCTTCTTCAAGCAGTCATATAGGGGGTCTCCCTACTAAGAGGTTGCTCCTACCTTCATGGATTGCTCCATGAAGAACTTGCTGCACCAACTTTTCCTGGACTACTTAGCTCCACTCAGGAATAAGCTGTAAATACTGTACCTAGAAGGGATGTTCATTTTCTCCAGGCAGTACAGAAATCTGTTGTGATAGTCTGTGACTTAGAATGGTTTGTAACACCTTTAACACTTAGCCTACTCCCCACAACTGTAAGATCAGGGCAGATACAAAAAACAGCTCCTCAACCCAGAGGGGGATTCACAAGGGAACCAATCCATAGAACTCTCTTTTAATTAACTAAATTAAAACATTTAAAGTATTTTGAACTATTTACAAGAAAAAGCTAAAGTAGTCACTATAGACACTGAAGCTCCATCCATTTAGCAAGAAGGAACTAAAATGGTGGTGGTCTGGCAACCCCTTTTATTCTGTTAGTGAAAAGCACAAGAGCTGTGGTGTATGCACAGACCACCTGGTCACTGCTACAGAAACATCCCCAGTCTACAGTGTATGCACAACCTGGAGGAACTACACATAAAGGCAATCAATCAAAGAAATAATAGCTCCATTCTGTTGAGTGTAAGTCTATATTTTAAGGGGTTGTTTACATTTCACAGATATCATGATCTCATATAGTCATTTTATATCATACTAGAAGATAACTCAATTATTGTATTTTGTAAAATAAAATGAAAATATACATGCTTCATTTAAATCATTGCTCTCATGTGGGGCATGGGAATGCAGGTTGCCCTGGGGACAAAGGACTACACAAGTCTCTTTTCTTTATGGTTTTATGAGAAGAAATCCCATTCCAGGCACATCCCATTGTCCTGGCAAAATCAAATGATTACTTTGCTTTAAGTTATGATAAGAGGAAGCTGTATATGAAATGTTGTGGCCCTAGATAATACCATTTAGGAGGAGTTCTTGAAGAAACAGACAAAACACACAGATACACAGACAGACAAAGTCTCTCAAATATATAATAGATTCCTCCCTCACCCATATCAATGGGAGAAAATAACTCTAAGATTTGATCAAAACACAATATATATTTTGTAATTTTCCAGTCATTTTAAAATATCCACCATTTCTGCCCCTACCACTACAAACTATTGGCCTGACTAAATGCTTTTTTACTTCATTTTTTAAAAAACACAGAATTTATAATCCAAGATTTTTCAGATTAGTGATGAAGAAAGATGATGTAAAGACGGTTACTGAAAGAATATTTGAGCGAGAGGGCTTACAGGAATAAAGACTGCTCTGGGCCTATGTACAGCCCTACTCATCAATCAACCTGCTTCCAAAATTGGTAATGGTAGAAAAACAAACACAGGGTATTCTATTCAGATACATAGCTCTCACAGTAAATCAAAAGGAGTCATCAACAGTCAACGTTTTTTCACCTTAATGCTGGATCTTTCTCCTTGCAGAAGAATCAGTATCACCTTGCCCATAAACATCAGTCTTCCAGTCAGCCTTAGATCTGAAGTCCATTTTTCCACAGTTTTGACATATTTAGCTTTAGCTCTCATGTGATCTAAATGCAAAAGGACAATCCATAGACCATCCTCTGTACTTATGCATCTTGACAAAGTACTTGTTTCACTGCCATTTGAAGTTTCTGATTTCCCAATGATGTGCTTAAGATTCTGTTGTATCCAGAGGACTAGCTTATGTAACATGGGTTCAGAAAGATGTCTCTTGGCTTGCTCAAGTAATCTTTCTTTCACATCTTTACACTGCACCCTTGTAAGCTGTTCTGAATGAATGGAGATATTCGGCAGGCTTGAGGGATAACTGACCGGCAAGTGAAATGACAGCTTTAACAGTATATCTGAATCCAAAAGTCCTTTCACGCTGATTTGAATTCGTAATGTGATTCCATCTGTCTCTGGAAAGCATCCAAAAATAATAATAAACTGCATGTAATTTATAAACTTCAGTAGCACACAAGTTAATAGATTTCTCACTTTAGAAATTCAAGCAACTGATATTCTTCACAGAAAATTTATGATGTTTCTTACCATTCATGTCTTAAACTATGTCTCCAGCTCACATGGACTCTCAAATGAAGTGTTTGCATTCCATAGTAGAAGGAAAGTTACTAACATATTCTAAACAGAGAGACAATTTTTTGCTCCTTTTAAGCCTTGACATATCAATAACATAAAGGATTTTCTCACAAGTAAAAAATTTGTACCTAAGGAGTAACAATTAGGGATGTAAAAAGTAGTTTAGAATGTAACCATGTAACTGCTAAAAATACTAGCAATTACTAACACTGCAGGCTCTGCAGTATAAAACTCCATTGTTAGTTCTGCAATAGAACCCTTCCCAGGAACAAGGCCAGGAGACCCTGCTGGTCCTGCTCCCGGGGAGCCAGTTTGTAACATGCAGTGAGGGGATGGCGGTTCGCCAAGGACAGGGTGCTCCAGTCAGCTGTAGAAGCCCCTGCCTGCGGTGGGCCCCTACGGTTGAAGCAGCCCTCTGCCTGGGGCTGGCAGGGAGCAGAACCGGTGAGCCTCACCCATTAGCCATTTACACCCATCCAAAGGTTCTGAAGGACAAATTTTATGCAGCTATACTTAAGCAAAACTATAGGGTGAAGGAAGGAGGGGTGCTCTTGCCACAGATAGGGGCTGCCTGTGCTAGGCCCCACGTGGCTGAAGCAGCCCTCTGCCCGGTGTGGGCAATGAGCTGCTCCAGCCCCTACCAATTACAGTAACTGGAACCGGTTAGCCTCCCATTAAGGGTGAAGCTCACAGGTTAACCATTTATATCCACCGTTCATTGTGGGTAATAAAACTTCTGAAGGCCAAATTCTATGCAGCTATACCTATGCAAAACTATAACTCCAGTGGAGTTGGACAGTTAGGCACCCAAACAGCCTTAATTCTGTTCTGTAGTGACACCATAAGAAAACAATATTGAACAGATCTTTAAAAATCAATGTAATTTCCTCTGGACTGACAAACTCTAAAATACCTTCATATAATCATATGACTGTTGGTGGATGACACAAGAGGGATTAGTTAAGGTTGTTTGGATGTCCTGTGTGTTTCTATATCTTAATGGCTGCGTCTAGACTGGCAAGTTTTTCCACAAAAGCATCTGCTTTTGCACAAAAACTTGCCAGCTGTCCACAATGGCCGCTTGATTTTGCGCAAAAGCACTGACGTTCTACTGTCCGAAATCAGTGCTTCTTGCATAAATGCTTTGACGTTCCCGTTCGGGCAAAAGCCCTTTTCCGGAAATGTTTTTGCGCAAGAGGGCCAGTGTAGACAGCTAAAAACAGTTTTGCGCATGCAGGGCCTCCTCCTCCTGCCACAGGTCCAGGAGTGCCTCCAGCTCCCCCAAGGACCAGGATGAGGCCCTTCTTTTTTGGCCCCTTGGGGCCTCCTGTGCTGGGGGTGCGGGTGGTTGCTCCCCCCTGGAGCTGCGCAAATCATTTGCGCAAGAGGGCTTTTTCCTGAAAGGGAACGTCAAAGTATTTGCGCAAGAAGCACTGATTTCGGACAGTAGAACGTCAGTGCTTTTGCGCAAAATCTTGCCAGTCTAGAAGCACCCAGTGTATTTGACATACCAGTATTACTAGCAGGGTTTTAAAAAATGCTTGTGGGCATTAAAGGCCAAATTTAGTATTTATTTAGGCACCTAACTCCGATTTAACAGCCCGGTACTCATTCACTTTCAAAGGGACTCTCTTGAAAATCCCAGCCTTTACAGTTATTTAGAAGCAAATTTGGTGTTCATGAAAGATGCCGTTTAAGAACAGACTAAAGTTTCCAGATCTATGCTTAGTGTAGACACATATCCAGGGTCTTCTTCTATAAGCAGCAGCCTACCGGCCTTGCCGTTGTTCCCCACAACCCTGACAATGGACTTCAACCCTTACTTAGAGGCTACGTCTACACTGCAATTTTTTGCGGCAGAAAATATGCTAATGAGGTACTCATTAGCATGATTCGCAATGTCATTAGTATATTTTCTGCCGATTCTTTTGCGCAAGGGGTTTTTGTGCAAAAAGAAGCAGTGTAGCCGCTTCCGATTTGCACACCCCCCCCTCGGAGAGGTATAAGCAGGTATTTGCGCAAGAGGGCTTGTCAAATCACTGAATCTACTTGCCCATGGCAAGTAGATTTCAGTCGGTTGCCCTGTTCACAGGCAGCATGCACATGCGCAATGCAGGTCTTGCGCATGCACAGCGCAGGGCTGGCGAGTAGGTTTCGCCGTCGTTTGTCAAGCCCTGGGTATAATGATCTTGTAAAACGGAAGCAGCTACAATGCTTCTCTAATGAGTCCCTCATTAGCATATTTTCTGCCACAAAAAGCTGCCGTGTAGACAAAGCCAGAGACTGCTTCACAGGGTAAGAGCTAGTTCAGAATCATTCCCATTCAGTCCTGGGCCTCACTGCTGAAACTGCCCATTATTATTACTGTTGTTATTATTACTATTACTATTATTATTATTAATAGGGGGAATATTATTTGTTTTATAATAGCACTAGCTAAGGCTCTGGATATACACATACACACAGGACAAACCCTGCCCTGAAGAGTTTATGGTCTAAATACTATAATGTGAAATTATAGCATAAATTATATTAGCATGATATTAACATGATAGCATAAATTATATTGTTATATCATGTGCCGAAAGTGTCCGTCTGCTATGTACATTGGACAAACATCTCAGACACTTCGCCAAAGGATTAATGCCCACAAAACAGATATCAGACAAGATCACAAAGAAAAAACAGTTTCTTGCCATTTTAACCAGAAAGGACACTCTCTCAATGACTTAACCTCCTGCATTCTGCTACAAAGACCTTTTACATCTGCACTTGAAAGGGAATCCTCTGAACTGTCATTCATGTTAAAATTCAACACTCTCCGAGAAGGAATGAACAAACACTCAAACTATCTTACCCATTACCAAGATAGCTTCCCCAATTATCACCTCTGATACCATTAGCTCACAAACATCCCACTCTCCCCACCTCTAATATCATCAATTCACAGACACTTACCTTCCTTCCTTCTGCCCCCCCCCCCCCGCATTCCCCTCCTGTTCTGAAATGCGATTTGTCCTTTTCATATGTGTTCATTTTTTTTTAATTGTATCCTTTGGTATATATGGTTGTGACTATTTTCTTCCACTATTTGATCTGAGGAAGTGGGTCTGGCCCATGAAAGCTCATCATCTAATAAACCATCTTGTTAGTCTTTAAAGTGCTACATTGTCCTGCATTTTGCTTCAGCTACCCCAGACTAACACGGCTACATTTCTATCACCTTTACAAATAGACTCTACAGAAACTATCCCTATGTTCCCACAAACTAAAGCACCTGAGTTTACTTCATAGAAAACTATGATCTCTGAAACAGAAGTGGCATATTACCATTCTGATGATATTTAACGTGTTACTAAAACTGAACCTAGTACAGTTGGTCTTTTAAACACATCTTTCCTTTCCTTTCGCACATACCCTCAGCATGCTTATCATCAGTAAATTCAGTTCTAGCATACTTGAGGCTTTTTTTATGGTCCACCTCAGCAAAAGAGATCCTCTCCTCTTCTGTCAAAAAACATTGTCTGCAACACATGTTCCATTTTTGACTCAGAAAGTACCTGCAAAAGTACAAGCTTTGAATGTGTAAATATATTTTTATTGTAAGACAGCTAAACAAACTAGAAAGAGGGTGGATTAACTAGTAAATTATTTAATTCTATCTGTAATACTAATCCTTCCAAAAAGGCTTATCAAGTAAGAGACATACTGTAATTAGCTCATTTAAATTAATCATTACACCATTTTAATAAAACATCTTTTGCATCTTGAGCATATCATTGTTAAACCTTGGAAAGCTGAAGTTTTTAGCCTGCAAAGAGATGTGCAAGAGCTTCTTCTTTCATCTTCCAAAACCATGAGTCCTTAAAAGGCCCCTTTCTGACCATGTGAATCTACCCAGGAATAACCCTATATTTCTCAGAGATCACATCATTTAACACAGCAACTTTAAAGTAAAGTGCCTCTCTGCACAGTTTATTAATGACAAGTTGTATTATCAGGGAAAATTAAGCAGGAGCAAATAACATTACAAATAACAATAATTAGATAATAACAACATAAAGTAGTTGCAATACCTCAGTTTTCACAAACTCAGGAGCTACGTCTAGACTAGCATGATTTTCCGCAAATGCTTTTAACGGAAAAGTTTTCCGTTAAAAGCATTTGCGGAAAAGAGCGTCTAGATTGGCACGGACGCTTTTCCGCAAAAGCAATTTTTGCAGAAAAGCGTCCGTGCCAATCTAAATGCGCTTTTCCACAAAAAAACCTCGATGGCCATTTTCGCGATTGGGGCTTTTTTGCGCAAAATAAGTCTGAGCTGTCTACACTGGCCCTTTTGTGCAAAAGCTTTTGTGCAAAAGGACTTTTGCCCAAATGGGAGCAGCATAGTATTTCCGCAAGAAGCACTGATTTCAGACAGTAGGAAGTCAGTGTTCTTGCGGAAATTCAAGCAGCCAGTGTAGACAGCTGGCAAGTTTTTCCGCAAAAGCAGCTGATTTTGCGGAAAAACTTGCCAGTCTAGACGTAGCCAGGGATTCTGCATCTCTAATGCAAAAGAGTGGGAAATTCTCTGCAAAATCAATTACAAAGTAATGTCCACACCCAAAGCATTTTTCAGATTCCAGTGGAGAATGCTATTCATCATTCAGACAAATAAGAAACCAATGGATCATAAAGACAGTTTAGTAAAAAACCATGCAAAGTCATATTATAGTGTGGTAATTTAAATATAGTATGTTCATTTATACTCATTGTATTTCATACTATGTTCTAGAAAGGGGGTTGAGCCTTCTACATTTAATCATCTATGAACAGCTGAGGCCACCCTTTCTATATATGAAAAAGTACAACTCCTTTAATAGAATTCAAGAAATATATTTGAGAGAAAAATATGGGAAAGTTTGTATTTTAATATAATACCCCACTAAGGTAGTTAACTATAGTCTGGATACTACAGCTTAAAATCATGCTTGGAATCATTTTTCTAAAATATCCAGTTTTTGTTTAATAAAAATTAAACTTGTTTCAGTTTAAAATGTTTTTTTAGCTAAGACATCTTAAAACCATGACTTTTAACTCAAGTCTAGGAAAACCATAATGTGTGTCATGTTAGAGGGACCTAGTCACAATACAATGCTATTTTGTAGTGTAAGCAGATCATTAAAAGTGCCCCTGAATAATGCCATGCTTTGGCTGTCTAAGATTGTGTATAAACAACCACTGAAATAATTCAATCATTTTAAATCACATCTTCTGTTGTTTTGGTGCATCTACATGTGGATATGCATTTCATAATAAAGTGCCTTACTTTAATTTAGCTTAAGTTAATACCTTACTGAAGGGGTGAGGAACCTCAGCCTAGGGGCCACATGTGGCCCCCAGCTTGACTGGATCTGGCCCCCAAGGCTTAGAAGCTCCCTGCACCAGCATTGAGAGGCCGGTGCTGGCACCGCAGCCCCCCATGCTGTCCCACTGCAGGGCTGGCGCACACAAAATATACCAGACTGGGCCCACCTAGGCTTTGGTGTGTGAGGGAGTGTCTTTCTCCTTCTCAGTCAGGGGCCATGTCAGTGAGGGGCTTTTTTGTTCTTTTCCCTCACCTGTGTGTGGCCCTCGACTGACTTTTCTATGGTTCAGTGGCCCTTGACTCAAAAAAGGTTTCCCACCCCTTCCCTACCGGTTTAAGTTAACAAACAAAGGCAGTGAGTGAGTGAGGTAATATCTTTTATATCTTCTAAAGGCAAGCTGCTAGCTGGCTATGAGACACTTTGTATACCTGCACCTCTGCAAATACATGTGATCGCCTTTCCCAATGAATGGGAGTTGCAAATCATGGCCAATGGGAACTGCGACTGCCCATACCTGCAGAGGCACAGGTAAACAAAGTGTCTCATGGCGAGCTAGCAGCTTGCCCTCACAAACCGTGACCCAGAGTTTGAAAACTCCTGTATTAATGGACCATCTTCTGTTGGTGGAAGAAATAAGCATTCAAGCTACATAGAGCTCTTCTTATAGAAACTTGTACCAAGATAACAAAGGCATGAATTAAAAATGATTAAGTTATTTCAGTCCCAGTATGCTTGTAGATACACCCTAAGACTTGATTATGGTCTGGGGATAAAGCTATAGTCTTTTTTAAACTGGGTCCTGCAACTCTGATTGTAACTTTAGTGTAGGCTCCTTTAGATGACTCCAACAGCATAAAGGGATCTTCTCTTGGGTAAAAATGGCCCCCTAAGAATATCCTATACGAAGGGGCCACCTTGGCTGGTTTAACAGAACTAGTGTAATGGTTCTACATTCACTCTGCTCCCAGCCTCCAACATATTAGGGGGCCTGACCCGAATGCCTCACACCATGACTATCCTCTGCTTCCCCAGAACCCATAGGCTGCTCTGGGAAGCAGAGCATAAATGACAGAAGTCCTGAGAATGGTATAAATTACACTAAACAGGCCTCATACAGTTCAAGAATACAGGGAACACAACAAGGATGTGAATGACTAGTCAACTATCTGATAAGCTAGTCAACTAGTTGCTTCCCCACCCACACACACTTGCTGCCTCTATCAGAAAGAGGCAGCAAGGGGGGGCAAAGAGCAATGGTGCTTCAAAACGGTTGCACCATGTGGAGCCTAGGGTCAGCTGGGGACTCCCCCGCTTACCCAGGGCTCCATGCAGTGCTGCAGCTTTGAAATACCGCAGGGAGCATGGGCGAGCGGAGGACTACTTGAGACCCCCGCTGGCCCTGTGCTCCTCACTGCGCTTTTGCCTTTGAAGTGTAGCAACAACCACAGAGCTGTTACTACACTTCAAAGGCAAAGGTACCCTTATCGACTAATCGAATGGTTGATGTAAATTGCATCAACTATTTGATTAGCCAATTAATCAAAATTTTGCATCTCTAGAACACAAACATGCAGAAAGCCACATTTGATTCCTGCACCAAGCGCCGGACAGGAGTGACTGAGATTCAGGCTGCAGGTGTGCACTGACAACTACTGCCTACTAAACATTATACAACCCTATGTGGCCTCCAAGCCTTTCTACTTATCGGAAGCATAACTGCTTATCAGGTTAGTTACATTTTTCTACTGGCAGGTAACAACTTCCGATTGTGTCATTCACCTAGTATTATTTGCTGAATGCAGTGTCAATGCCGGGAACTGGAGGAGATAGCAAATTGTGACAGGAGAGTGATACCCATTAGGATTTACCCAGTGCCAAAGATGCAAACTGTGAAGATACATGGTGGGAAACTGACAGGTAAGAGACATCTTTGCTACCACTAATAAAAGGTAAGAGATTAAAGGAGTTACTTACTGTCACAATTTTTGTGATGGGAAAGCATGCAAAAATAGATAATGCTGTCAGAATTTGCTATAGGATGCAAATTCTGATTGTGAAGCATTTTTATAATGCTACTGACCAGAGAGGCTAAGAGTTTCTCCAGCAAATTGGAAGCATATTTAATGTGCATTACCACTGTTTAGTAGTCTAAGAGCAAACTTCAGTAAAGTACCACAGAGGAGTTTAAGTTCTTCAAGAGGCGGTGGGCAGCAGAAAAGAATGCTTAGCTCAGCTCACAGGCAGATGCTGGGAGGCAGGCAAGATGCAAAGGTAGTGCTTACTGTGAGCATACATTATTGAAAAAGTTTTTAATTTTCATAGATATTAGAGACCTCTTAGATCATCCAGTCTATTGTCCTGACAGCACAGATCTGCAGAGAAAATTCATTCAATATTAAACGAATACTACATCCAATAAAAAAACCCAACAATGTTGGGAAAATCATTAAGGGATATAGAACAGCGTCCTGTTGAGAAGAGATTAAAAAGATTGGGATTGTTCAGCCTAGAAGACACAGCAAAAAGAGGGTATGATAGAGGTTTATAAACTCATGAATGGTATGGATTAAGTAAATAAGGAAGTGTTTCATGCTGTCACAAAGCAGGAATCAGGGATCATTCAATTAAATTAATAGGCAGCAGGTTTAAATCATTCAGAAGTATGTCTTTACACAACACAGTCAAGCTGTGGAATTAATTTCTAAGGGATAAAGGCAAAACATAACTGAGTTTTTAAAAAGAAATAAAAAAGTTACCAGAGGACAGATGTGCTACTAGTCTATTTGTTGGTTTTTTAAGTTTTTCCAACAATGGCAGTTAGCCAACACTGCCAAGAACACAACCCAAGCTCTGGGTGTCCTGACCCTCTACTTGCCAGAAGATGGATCACTTTGCAACTATTCCGTTCTTTTTTTTTTTTTCAGTTCATTGAAGCACCTGGTGCCAGCCACAGGCAGACGTCAGGATACTGGGGTAGAGGGCCCACAGGTCCGACCCAGTATGGCTGACTTTGTAAACCACAGAACAGCAGGGAAGGTGCCAGTTTTCCAGGGAAGAAAACGCCCAAGTTGTCCGGCAATGCATCCACAAGACCAGCATGCCACCCTGCGGCACAGCATGGGACCCGTGAATTCAGGGCACTTGACAAGTCTCCCTAGGCCCGGGGGGGAAAGGAGGCGGCGCCGCGCCAAATACGGACTAGATCAGACACTCGCCGCCTTTGCCCCATGCACCTTCACTGACCTTCTCACCACCCGCCGCGGCAACTCATGGAAACCTCCGCAGACCGCTCCAACCGCTCACGCGCCAGGTGCGCCGGGGGGGGGGGGGGGG